GTTACCTTTTTGCTAGAAGAATGCCTCTGGGAAGAGCATTCCAGACACAGGCACCGGCCGGTGAGCCTGGCATCTGAGTTGGTGAAGCAGGAGGGCTGGGAGAGACGGCCGGGGCCTGCTGCCGTGTCCATTCGGTTTTATTGACTAAAGATTTTTCAGTTTTAAATGCGCGAGGCTTTTAAAACTCCAACGATCAGAGGAGCTGTAAGGAAAGCAGTCTCCTTCCCACTCCAGGCCTCTCCCCAAAGGAGACCACAGGACCCATTCTGTCTTAGCTTAGCTCACTTCCCCCCACACCTGGCTGTAGGTAATTTTAGTTCATCCCTTGGTTCTCTATCTCTGTGATGTTCAGTAACATACCACCTCCAGCCCTCATCAGCAATTTTAATCTTGGCTGTTCTTTTTGTTGCCGTTCCCTTTGCCCCTCCTCCCACCTCGAAGCTTCCTCCCTGCTCTGGCGACAGGAGCTCAAAAGTTCTTGGGTGATTGTACCATCTCCTTCCCTTGCACCCATGTGGGTGCCTTTCCCTCAGAGGAGTTATCTCTCCTAACCCGTGCCCCTGGGAAGGAGGGCACAGGCCTTGGTGAGGCTGGTGAAGTGCCACCACTGACAGGCAGCACACTTCCTCTTTAGCAGAGTTTCCAAAGCCTCCTCTTCCTGGTCCCACTGTTCTGCCGAGCCCATGGCACAGTCCTAGTTGAGGCAGCATAGGAACCCCCCCTAATCTGAGCAATGTCTCCCCTTCCCCAGCCCCCCAGGGCCTGGTTCTGACACCACCTCGCACTATAGGACTCTGGCGCTGGCGCTGGGAGCACTGGGCCAGGAAATGGCACGTGACCCAAGCGGGGCCAATCAGTGTGTCTCTCCTGGACGTTTGTTATTGGGATGGAAACTTCCCTGTTTAGTCTGGATGGGTATCTTGAAAGAGATGACGTAAAAACTCAAAGCCTAGCTTACATCCTGAGTATTGAAGAGTAGAGAAGGCAAAACAATTTTCTCAACTAAAAATATTAAAACCCAGCAGAGATGAAAATGGCATTCCTCCCTGGTTTTAGCTCCTTGCTGAGGCCCGGTGGTGGCTTTGTCCTAAAGCTCATTAAAACATGGCCTCATCCTCCTACCAAACCCCCAATTTCTTAAACCAGCTCCAGTGAGTTTCTGCTATTTACAGCCAAATGGACTAACAAAATGTCCCCTCCTGCAGACTGGGCTCCGAGGGGGGTAGGAACCATGTCCTTGCATTCTCCAAAGCACTGAGCAGAAGGCCCTGTGCATGGTAGGCACTCAAGAAGCATTTCCTGAATGGAATCAGCTGCCAGTATTCCTCCTTCAAATACTTCGGGGGGCATTGACCCTCTTGAGATGAGGCTGACTCTGAGAGGATGAACCGCAGAAAGGTGCTGTGCCAGCCACTCTCCCGTCCAGTGGGGGCGGGGGGGGGGAGGGGGAGAAGTCTTAGTAAGAGAATCAAATGTAGTTTCAAGCTGTCTAAGTGCCTCCCAGTCTCCTGCCTCAGAAGTAGGATTGGAGGTCATCAGCAAACAGAGAGCCTGGCTCCATCACTTCAAGGACAGAGTGCTTTGACTCTCTTGGGTCCCTGACTGCTGATGAAAGAGCCCTCTAGTGGTGAAGCAGCAGTTGGATCTAGGCTTACCGGTATGTAGAAGCCCAGTCAGTGTAGGCACCTATGTGTACACACAACTACACATCAGCTGAATGCGAGGGTGAGGTCACCCTCTGGAGAGTGGGAGGCATCCTCAGGAGCTCACTGACCTCAGCCCTGACTCCTCACGCCCCTCCAGTCAGGGGTCCTAGTTCAGGGCTCCCCACACCCTGTGGGCAAAGGCTCAGTACAAATCTCCATTCTTTCTGCATGTGTCCCTTTCTCTCCTTCAGAAAATGTGTGCACTTCCTGACTCAGCACTGCCACTGCCATCTGCCTGAGCTCCTGACCCTTGCCCCCCTTCCACAAGGTCCTGCCTGGAATCCTGATTCCTTCTGCTGACCCCTTGGGCACCATGCCTGGGGTTAAGTGACAGGTGAGCAGGCGGAGCAGGAGCTGCTGTCAGTGGGCGGTGGGTCTGTGAGTGGGTGCTTGGAGCCTTAAGCCCAAGCTCATTGCTTTCATCTACATGGTCCTGCTTTGAAAAAAGACCCTTCGCATCCCGACTGAAGCAAGGAAAGAAGCAAATGGTTCGTAGAATGGCTGATTTGGTTACTATTATTAGTTCATATGATTTATGTTTCTGAGAGGGGGAAGGAATTTTTCACATGTTTAATAACCCTCCCAGGAAAGACCAGTTTCACCTATGTTACACGTGGCTTTTTGTTGTTTATCTCCCCTGAGGATATTTTTCCATTGTTTTTTAGGGAGAGTGGAAGAGAAAGGAAAAGACAAAGAGAAACATCGATGTGAGGGAAACACATTGATTGGTTTCCTCCTGCATGAGCCCGGAGCCTGTAACTGAGGTAAGTGGCCTTGACTAGAATCAAACCTTGGACTCTTTGGTCTAAAGGCCAATGCTCTATCCACTGAGCAAAACTGGCCAGGCCTGTAGAAAAAAAAATGGGAGGGGGGGGGCCTTAAAGAAGGCCCTGTTATACCCTTCCTCCATTTCCTATCATTCATTTTGGTTATGTGGAAATTTTAAAATATTTTCACTTCCTGCCCACAAATCATATGCACAAGCCCACACTATACCTAGCCCCAGGCATGTCCACCCACACATGCAAACAGCTATGCATTTAAAGCAAGTATATTCACATGGCCCACAACACTGCTGCAGGCACAGCCATATCTACATGCCTGCTTGTTCTACAACAGACTCAGAACGCACAATTAAATTGAACTCAGCACCAGTAAACGTGCAAACATAATTGTACCATGACTATATATTCAAACCTATCATGCACTTGCATGTATATCTAAAAGCAAGAATCAAGACTTCAAGTGACCTGAGCACCAAAGACAAGTAGCAAAGTCACCAAGAAGGTGTGAGCTGCCTTGAGAACTCTTCCGTACCTGCTGCCGCGCTCGGACAGCCAGAGGGGCAGCAGGACAGATGTGGCTGTGATTGACTCCCATTATACTTCTGTCAGATAACATTCCAACATTACAGTTGGTTATGGACGCGTCTCAGGGACTGCAGAAATGACCCAAGCAGCCTCCGCTCCAAACACTGGCCTGAGGGAATCCATCCCATGAGGCCATGGTGCTTGGTGAGGGAAAGGTAGGGGTAAGGCATTCTGTGGACTGTTTTTAGCTAACTCAGTGAGTGCTCATGTGTAGTAACAAAAAGCTGGATAAATCTGGTCTTTTGCAACATTGACTATTTCTGAGGGAGAGCCTCGCTAGCTTTCGGGTGTGAAATGGCATTTGCACTTGGGACTAACAAGGAAAGCAGGCTTAACTTTACCTGCTTTCTGGTCTCACTTAGACAAGGATGTTAACAAATGAACATCCAGAACCTTTGGAAGGAATCTGATGTTTTCTGAGACTTTTCCCCCTTGAATTCATCCTCCCCCTCCCCCCCCCCCCGCCCCGCAATGTAGGATTGTTAAAATATAGATTCAGAGACCAATATTTAACACCCCTTTCCCAAAACCCCTGATGTGTGTGCAACAGAGTCTCTATACAATTAGCCTTTTCTCTTTTAGGAATGCATGATCATATGTATATGAACAGTTCCAGGTCTGATCTGAACATGTGGTCTCCAGTGTAAACCAGCGCTCCAGAGAAAGGAGGGTAGACATATTGCTTGTTTTGTGGGGAACCAAATGGAGACAGACTATACACAGATGTGCTTGTGACAACACCTTTTGCCCGCCCAAGTGAGCCTTGGAACTGTCGCCCGGAGTCTCGGGTCCCTTTAAGAAGACTTGGTCTTTCCCAATGGGTTCCAGCGGAGCCCGCAGCAAAAGGCAAACTTGCCTGGCTCATTGGTGGGGTCGGGGTGGGGGTGGGGATGGGAGGTCGGGACTCGCTGGATGCGAGCTGAGAGCGCCAGCGTGCGCTGCGGGCTTCTTTCCCCTTCCCCTCTCCTTAGCCCTGCGGGAGGGGGTGGGGACCGGGCTGTGCTGCAGTGCCAGGAGCCGGCTCCGATTGCCCCAGCTCCCCAAACTTTGAGCGAAGCGTGGGCTTGCTTAGACCGATCCTGAAAATGGCCAGGGAAGGGCGCGGGGGAGGGGGGGGGGGAGACCCTCCTGCAGCCCTGGCGCCAGAGGGGCGGGTGCAGCCGCGGGACTGACAGGCCGGGAGCTGTCCGTTCAGCACCGCGGGCCCGAGCCCGGGCGTTACGGCGGCGGGCGGGGCGGCGGCGGGAGCTGTCCGTTCAGCACCGCGGGCCCGAGCCCCACGGAGAGCGCCGGCCCCGCCCCGCGACTGTCTTCTCCAGTTTGAGCGGGGGTGTGGGCAGCAGGCGGAGAGCTTTCCTGGGAGGCAGGGGAAGCAGTGAACACTCTTCGCAGCGGCTCGCCTCCCAGCAGTGCTATTTTTTGCTATCCGCCCTCACCCCCGGCACACGCGCGCGCGCGCGCGCGCACACACACACACACACACATGCACGCACGCACGCGCGAGCGCGCACACACAGAGACCTCTCTGGATTTCTTCGCCTTGAGTCTCCCGGGGCTGTGAGGAGCCAGTCTCATCTCAAGCCGAACTGGCAGCTCCAGGCTCCGGAGCCATGCCTTGCACGGACTCTCGTTTTTACCAATCTCCTGAGGAATGAAAGGAACCCAGGGACCCGCAGAAGGCAGCAGTGATGTGGACCAACCCCCTGGAGCCTGCACCCTTCCGAGGGCCATAGGCGAACCAGGGAACCGGAGACAGCTCCAGACAGGAAACCCCAGCTTTCCCAAAGTCCCCGTGGATGCTGACAAACCGAGACCCGAAATTTTGAAAAAGCCAGTCCTAGGTTATCCAGCTGCAGGGTGATTTTTTCCTCCGGCATTGAACTTCCCCTTCTTCCCCCAGCCACCCAGAATACCATGAAGAATTATGAGGATGTGTGACAGAGGTATCCAGATGTTGATCACCACTGTGGGAGCCTTTGCAGCTTTTAGTTTAATGACCATTGCGGTGGGCACGGACTACTGGTTGTATTCCAGAGGTGTGTGCAGGACTAAATCTACAAGTGATAATGAAACCAGCAGGAAGAATGAAGAAGTAATGACACACTCGGGGCTGTGGAGAACCTGCTGCCTGGAAGGTATTTGCAAATTCTTCTCAATAATAATCCAGTTTCTGATATTTAATATTCCACTGGAGGCTCGGGGGAGGCAGAAGCAGTGAGTGGGGAGAAAAGAATGGTTCTGATGATTGCTGAGAAGGTGCAGGTGTCCAGGCTGTTCCCAGCAAGACTAATGCTATGTGGTGTGGGGTGAAGGGTTTGGATGTTATTGATTGTTTTTGGTATAAGCTTCATGAGATGAGATTTTGTAGCAACCTAGGCAGCTTCTGCAATTAAGAAAAGTCTTCAAATACAAAATCTCGAATCATTTTGTGCATTGCTTTGCTCTCTGGCTTGAGATGATGTCTTTGGCTCTGCTTCAATTGTGTTTCAATGGGGGATCTGGGGAGAGAGAGAGGGAGAGAGACCCCCTGACCTAGCCTGATACACTCTAAGCCATTCCTTATTTCTCAACATAGTCTTACCAGTTCCTTATGAGTTCGGTCTCACTAGATATTTTCATGAACTTCCATTGCCAACCAGTTCCAGACTAACATACATGAACCCTCCCACACACACACACATGCACACACACACACTTTAAGAAAATGTCCTTATAAATATACATTTTATTATTTGGGGATCAAAACAAAAGTGAAATCTTGGTATTTGCTATACAGCTTTCTTCTTTCCTAAATCTACCCCAAATCCAACAGATATGTTTTCATGATATTTGCATAAGATTGATTCTCCAAGAATGGGGGCTTGTCAGTTCTAATTTTTAAAATTGAGAATCAGCTTAATTATGATGAAAAGGACAGATCAATTTTGGAATGCCAAGCCCTTAGGCAGTCTTTCTCACTATTAAACTTGCTTTCACTGCACTGGAGTCACTCTCAGCATCACTGGGCTATAGCTGGGTGTCGGTGGGAGAGAGCAGAAAGAGAACAAAATCGGAGCTTTTGGAGCCTCTGTGCCTGAGGGAAGGCCCTGGATGAAGGGTTAAAAGGGAGTTTTTTCTTGGGCTTCTAGGGAACCTGCGAAGCTTGTCACAGTGATGAGTAAGAGAATCTTGATTCCCTATATGCTCCCCCTGCCTGCTCATCATTGGTCCTCCAGCCTGCATTCTCACTGGCTGGCACTTGCCAGGGCTTCTTGAAGACTTGCATTTATGTCAGCCGCTTAGGAAGTCATGCTATGACATCACTTGCTGGTGTAATATTGCTTCATTCCCTGGCCTTCTTCCCGTGTCCTGACACTCTGAACAACTGCTCTCCTGCCTGTAAGAATAACTACAACTGAGTCTGTTTCCAATGCACATTTGCAACTGGTGGGAAGTCCAGGTGGGAAAGGAATCCTTTAAATGCAAGAAGGATCCCGGTGTGTGAAGTCAGAATGCCCGGGGGAGGCTGCAAATTATCTGTATGACCTTAAGACATTTGCCATTCTCAATTCTCAGTTTATTATTTTGGGAAATTATTAATTTGGAATAAGTGGCCTTTACTTATCACTACCTAAAGCCCATATTGTATCCAGTGTACTGATGGAAATTCTAGAATAATTCTTTCCTAAATATTGACAAGAAGCTAACATTTGTGGTTGTTTGTGGTTGCATTTGGTGAAGTCATTTACTTAAGGGAAATTTTATAATTCGCTTTCCTATATGGACAATAAGGAATTGAGCTATCATTTGTGAAACTGTGGATATTTTGATGCCTACATGGTTCCAGGGATGGCATATAAAACCGGAGACTACAACCGATGCTGCAGATGGAGACCCTGTTTCAGTTATTCCCGACTCTTCTGCCTCTAGGAACTGAACCTTGGAACGCACAATTAAACACCAATTTCCCCTTTAGGGCCTAGGGTTCCGGAACCCTCAGCAGTTCTCAGCTGATGGTTTCTCTTTTCTCCAGCATCATGTTCTCCACCCACAGTTGGCACAAGGAATCAGAGCCCCACCAGGGCATTCTGGGAGAATTTGAATCCAGTGGGATTTGGTGAATCTAAGACATGCCCTTGATCAGGTGAATTCTTTTGAGAAAATTGGTTGCAGTCTCTGTAAAATTTGGTCCAGCTACATTTTTGTTTGTATTTTTGAAGTACCAAATACAGTAAGACACATAAACTTTCATGAATCACAATGAAATTTTAGCTATGTGTACAACCATATAAACCAACACCTACACGGGCCTGGCTGAAACTGAAGCCAAGATTTGCCTTCCTGTACTGACCACATGGAGTGTTGGAATGTCTGGCCTAGGTGGCACGTGCCGCAGACGGAGCCATGCTGATGACATGCAGGTGCACAGCCACCTCCCATTGGGTATCTCCTGCTTTCCAGAGCCTCAACATCCTCATTTTTTCTGGTCCTTTAAGTGTCAAAGGATAATAAGGGTATGAAGTCTTGTTACTCATTTTTTTATATCACAAATTAGAAGAGTCGGTTCATCCATACTTTTTCCCCATGAGAGACTATGGCCATTTTGTCCAAAAGAAGAGAATGCTCGGCAGGAATATGACAGCTGTCTGCAATGTCTGCAGAGCTCTCATATGAAAAAGAGATTTTAAGTGTTCTGCCTGGCCTCCAGGGGGTAGAAGTGGGAGCTTGAGGTAAACAGGTTTGGCCTCAATCTAAAAATGTGTCTCTTGCAGAATGGGAGCTTTCAGAGGCTCTGAGTTGCCCACCACCAAAGTATTCAAATATCAGAAAGACATCCAAGTGCATCCATGGCTTCCAAACCTGGGTGGCCATCAGAATCACATAAGGAGCTTTAAAAGAATAGGTTATCAGGCCCCACAACTAGATTCTCTGCATCCATAGGTTGGCAGTGGGTCGCTGGAGTTTGAATTTCCTAAAAGTCCTCCAAGCAGTTATCAAGTCAAGGGCAAGGTGACTCAGTAACTCCAATGGGCCTACGTGACTGTGGAGTCAGAGAGTCTGTTCCCAGGGTTCATTCCCATCACCCACCAGAATGTCTTACTGGCATTCACTAGGTGTTAGGGCTGTTCTAAGAATTTTAAAAAATTAACTTTCATCTTCAAATAAGCTCCACGCTATAGGTATTAGTATCATCACCCTTATTTTACAGACGATGAAACTGAGGCTGGAGAAGTTATGTAACTTTCTCAGGGTCACCCACCTTCACTCAGCAGTTGCTACTGCACCTAAGCCAAGTTACATTGGCTGGAGAGCGTTACCTCGTGCTCTGGTGGACCGGCTGCGACTGGCAGGGACACTTAGCTTGTGAGGACGCCCAGACCCGTGGGCCTTGCCATTCAGATGCTCCAGTTCCCAGAACACCCAGTGTGCCTGTGCAGCGTCTGCAGGCACGGGAGCCACCAGACAGGCGCAAACTCAGACGCAGCAAAGGACATGCTTTGAATGAAAAAACCATCGACTCATGTAGAGACACCCACACTGAGAAACCAAAGCCAACGCCTGGCTCGTTATCTGGAAAGCACGCTAGGCTCTCAGAACAGAGCCCAGCCTGCTCGGGCTCTCAGGAGCAGTGTGCGAATGTGGATAGGAACTGTGTGACACGTGATGCTCTCACTGGGAAAACCGTGAAGCCCTCGGTACCATCAAAGCGGTGTGCGTAGATAGTGGGAAGAGCACTGCACTGGCCTAGGGGTGAGGAGCCCCGGCAGCTAATCCCATTTCTGTCACTAAGTGTTATGTCGGTTGTGTATGTTCTTTTCCTTGTTTGGACCTCGCTTTATGCAAATCTAAAATGGGAGCTTCAGATTAGATTAAGGTGTACCAAACCCAAATTTCCGTGTGGACCAGGCAGGTGATGGCAAGTGTGAAAAGGGGCATTTCACAGTCCTCTTACTCCAATTCTATGAGGGGGTGGGGGGTAGGGGGAGATTATCAGTGCATTTAAGAAGAGGTATGGTAACAAACTTCGTCTCAGTGTGGGGCAATAGAGAGTGGTGGGGACTGTGGCAAATTGGGGCACTCAAGCCCCATCTAAGGGACAATTACTACGGAGTTTAAGTTGATCTTTACCCTGGTGAAATGTGTACCAATTTGGTTCAATAATTCAAATTTTTAAATGCCAATAGAAACTCTTGATTTTTAAAACGTGGGCAATTAGGTCAACTTTTTAAAAACATGGTGTCAGCCAAATCAAACTTACCCTGCAGCTGAATTTGACCCCTGGGCTGCCAGTCCTTTTAATTCAAATTTCTTATGGTTTTTCCGTTGATTACTGAATTACTCTTCATTAGTCGACGATCACTTTTTTGATGCATTAAAAAAAATTTTCTACTAAGAAAAGAAAGCCCACTTAGGATTTTAAGAGGGAAATTAAAATTATGGAAAAGTGTTTCAATAAACTTCTATTTCTGCTACAGATGGGCCTGAATGACATCAAACATCTGGCTGAAAAACTAGGGAAAAAATAGCCCATCATTAGAAGTTCCCCCATATTTCCAAATCTCCAGATGGTTGACTTGTTCAGCCAGATGGGGTGCCAGCATTATTGATGTGCTCAGAAGCCTCGGGGAAGCTGCAAAGATGTGGCCGGGCCAGGGTGAGGGAGGGACAGAGCACTGCCTGAGTATTTCCTGTGTGCTCAGCTCAGTGCTAGGTGCTGTCACAGGCATTGATGTACTCTGCTCCTGTCTCCGAGCTTCCCCCGGTAGACTGTAAACTCAAGAGGACAGAGATTCTCGCCTGTTGGTGGCACTGCTATATACTTAGAGCTTAAAAAATGGCATCAAGTAGTCATTCTGTGCCTGCTGGCCTGATCTAATGCTGTACCTTCCCCTCGACATGGGCAAAGAATACTTCAGAACCCTCTTACTCTCTTCCCTACCCCTGACCCTGCTCTTGTCCCTGCACTGTCCATCCTTGTCCCTAAAGCCCAAAAGGCAGATAGAAGAGAGAAGTGAGCCGAAACCGGTTTGGCTCAGTGGATAGAGTGTCGGCTTGTAGACTGAAAGGTCCCAGGTTTGATCCCGGTCAAGGGGCATGTACCTTGGTTGCGGGCACATCCTCAGTGGGGGGGGGTGCAAGAGGCAGCTGATCGATG